AATATACTTAAAGCCAATACTCTCTAAAAGTTATTTCTTTTTCATAGTCCATCCATCTAATTTATATTATTATTCTGGCCATATTTATAAATAGTGTTTTGGTCCATTTATTTCAAAACAATAATCACCAACTTTAAAATCTATTTAATAAGGTATTAAATTTTCTATTTTTGGAATTTCTATTGGATCATATTAATCAGTAAATTTATATTCATTTAATTTTGCTTATTTTTCTAATCTATCAAAATCTAAGATTTTTTTAAATTATTCAATAATATCCAATTCCATTTAACTTTTTGTTATTTATTTCATTTATAAATGATATTTAGCTAAACTTATTTTTGATTCTTAAAGTACTTTAGTAATATCCTAAAGAAGATCTTAATTAACTTGATCTACATGTTTCAATTTCATAAATAAAACATGTAATTAATGTGCATAGAATGGTGATTTAATATAAAGTTCATGTTAATTTTTAATGAAATTATTATAATGTTCTAATACTTTTTAATCATATTTATATTATAATAAAGATGTTGCACATCCAATAATAAATTCATAATTTTTAGATTTATAATATTATGTTGTTATAGCTTCTAAAATTGTTGATTTAGGTTCAAATTATAATGTTAATAATGCTTATAGATAACTTAACATATTCTTTTCATTAAAATCTTTAATTTTAAGATGATCTTACAATTAACAAATAAAAGTTTAATTATATAATTTATTAATTATTAATCCTGAATAAATTAAGATTACTTAATCCATATTTAATTCTTTATCAACTAATTTATTAATCAAATCAAAATAAAATTATGTATCTTAATAATTTAATCTACTAAATGAATAAAATATTTCACAAATTTATTAATAATTAAATTTTGTAAAATCAGTGGATTTTTTAATTATATGTAATAATTTGGAAACTTCTTTAAGATCCAATTTACTAGCTTAACTTAAATAAAATAGAATAATAGGAATTTTATTAGGTTCTATTTAATCTATTTTTTTCATTAAGATTGCTAATACCTTTTCCCATACATCTGATAATTATTTATATTAATCATTATTATTTTATTATACTGACATATAAAATTATTATGTTAATCTTTTACTAAGTATTCCTAAACTAGGTATAAATTTAACAATAAAATCTACCCATTTTAATTAATTTAATACTTAACCATAAGCAAAATATTCTAAATATGTTGCTAATTTTGGAGAATAATCTTCTATTCTAATTAAAGATTAAAATGCTATAACTAATGAATCACTTGGATTTAAATGATTTTACATTAATTATCTTATTTTAGATTCAATTAATTATAAAACAGGATCTCTTAATTTTGGATGATCATGATGATGATGATGATGATGTTATTTATTATTTGGATTGTGATGTATATCATTATGATTTTAAACATTAGTTGATATTGTTTCAAGAGTTTTTGCGAGAATGAAAAGATTGTTTTCTGATTCAACTAAGACATGTATAACTTTATAATCCTAATCTTATAAATAGAAATTTTTGCTTGTTTTAGTTAAAAAATATGCTAAACTATTAAAATCTATTAAACCTTTCAAAATTTTTTATTTTTAATTTGTTGTAAATTCATTTACTAAACTAATATAAATATTTCCTATTAAATTATGAATTTATGATGGGATTGAGAGTGGTGGAGATTTTGGGTATTTTTTAACAAAATTTAATATTGAATTAATATGTTATACTGAAAATTGTGTTTCTAACATATTTTTTTCAGTAAATGATTAATTAATTAGATCCATAAATTATTATTATAATTTCTTTTATTATTTTTTTTAAGCACTTACTATTAAAGGATTTTAAAACAATATTTCTAATGTATCCATTATATGACACATTTGTAAAGATAAACTTAGATATTCTGTATTTAATTCTTAATTATAAAACTATTTTAATTAATGCAATAAACCATAAACTGTTGCCAATATTTCATGAATCAATTTATTATGTCTTACATGTTATAATAGATTTATAAGTTTTGGTAATTATAGTAATATCTATTAATTATATATTTAAGAGTCACTATTTTATAAATTTATAGCCATCTATTCAAATAATATCTAAACATCTTTTATTTTATATTTTTAATTAAGTTTATTATAAATTATTGTCTCTGTAATTGTTATTAAATGTTCATCAGATAACTTTTAATAATTTTACATCACCACATCAAGAATTGTTTAATTCAATTATCTATTTTCTATTCTATTTATTGACAGTGTTAATAATAATCCTTTTAAATATTCTAAATTGCTCTCTACTTAAACTAATTCAGTTGATCTTTATAATACTAATTTCAATAAATCTAAAGGTATTATTTAATTAGTTTTATATGATGTATCAATTACACCTATTAAAGTGTTCAAATTTTAAACCTGATTGATATTTTCTTTTAATTCTAAATGTAATTGCGATTTTACAGAAGCTGACAAAAATTAATTGATAAATGTCTTTTCATGAAATCCATATTTTACCACAAATCGCAGCATTAAATTTAATAATTTATGAATTACAAAAATAAAATGTTTAAAGTGCATCAATACCCATTAATACAAATTACAATTGATTTAGGATAAAATAAATCAGATTAATTAATTCTATATAGACATACAGATCCTTATTAAGAAGCATCTGCTTTTGTTTAAAGAAATAATCTATAGCCTAAATTGATATAAACAATCTCTAATAGCATAATTAAATAAATGAAAGCATATGATGAAATGATGATAATCACGTATGTAACTTATTCAATTATTTAAGGACAAAAAACAATAAGAAACTAATTATTTACAGAATTTAAAATAAAATCATCTAGAATTATAACAAAAATTAAAATCTCCAAGTCCTAATAAATTGAAATCAAGTACATAAAACTTAAAGATATCAAAATAACCTTCTAATTATTAAGTTCATGATGATCTACCAACTGATAAAGTTGTAATAAAGAAACTTTTTAAACTTTTAGATGGAGATTAAGATGGATTAATTTCAATCTAAAGAATCAATTTTTACAATATTCCTATTTAAATATAAAATAAAGTATATATATAATTAAATATATAAAAGGTTTAAAATAAAATTGAGAATTCATCAATACCATTAGAATTTGAAGATTTTTATTTAAAATTGAAAGAAGATCCTTAAGATGAATATTTTTAAACTTTGAAATTAGTTAGTTAGATATTTAGTATACCTAGAATTAAAGTGTTAATATGATTTATATAAATAAATAAATAAATTAGAAATACAATATATGAAATTGTTTAAAATAATTATAATTTAATTATCTAATTAGACATCTTAGAAATATATAATTTTCAAATAACAATAATAGTTTTTCATTTAAAAAAAATGAATAATTTTAATGGGTCAATTTTGATAGATGATGTAATAAAATCTGAAAAAAATAACAGTTATTGTTTGATAAATTATAATTTTGAGACAATAAAAAATGAGAATCATATATATAATACATATATCATCTACCAGAATAATATTTTACTATAAATTTATGTAATAAGAATAATAAATATTAGTGCAATTGTTATCAGCATCTGATAGGATACCTGAACTGATTTGTAAATATCTATAAGAAGTCCCTTTTCTTAGATAATTTGATTAGACTTAAGGTCATGGTTTTATGAAAAAATTAGCAGCTTTAGTCTAATTTAAGATTTATCAATAAGATGAGATTATATTAGAATAAGGCAGACCTGTTAATTCATTATACTTATTTATGTATGGATTAATAGGAAAACATCAAACAAAAAGAGATAAAAATTATGAGATTGTTCAAGAGAAAAATGCAATTGGTGAAATTTATTTTCTGACTCGTTAAGCTTGTAAATATTGGATTTCAGCTTTAAAACCATCATTAATATGTTATGTAACAAAAGACAATTTCTATAAAATTGTGAAAAAGAAAAATATCACTATGTCTTTATTAAATGAATTACTATAATATCCATTTTTCTCATAATTGTCTATAAGGTATAAAAATTTAATAGAGTAGTTTCATTGAATAAATATGTTAAAAGAGTCAAACTGTCAATTATATCAATCATTAAATTGTATTTGATATTGATTAAGAAGCTAATAGTTGGTATATAGTTTTGTAAGGAGAATTCCAAATTTTATTCTAACATTAGAAAAAATTCTATCCTCTCATATTATTGTCTTAAGGAGATTATTTTGGAGAAATAGAAATTGTGTAGAAATCTATGCGTTAATATAGAATATAATGTATTAGTAATGAAGCTACTTTATTGGAAATAAATAAATTATCATTTTCATAATTAATGATATATGATTCATAATTTAAGATTATGATCAATCAAAATATATAGAATAGGATTAATTCTTATGATGAAATCATCAAATAAAATATTCTTACTTTAAGTATTCCATTATCAAGTAGAAGAAGTAGATCCAAAATGCATCTTAAATCTATACATTTAAAAATAAAAAGTACAGATACATCAATTGAACCTAATGTTTAAGAATTTTAGAGTGAGAGAGAGAAAGCATTATTAAATTTAATGGAATCTAAAATTGTTAAGAAAGAGAGTAAAAAAACCTTATATTAAAGATTGAGAGAATAAAATCCAAGATTACTTCAATTTCTAGAAAAAATGGAGGAAATTAAGTAATCTTAATAAAAATAATAAACCTCTAAAAAATTTGAATTAATCAAACAATTACCTTCTATTTAATCAAATCCTCTTGTTGATTCTATTCAATCTTATTCTCATACTCCTCTATTTTCTTTTAAAGGAGATTCTCCAATAAGAATAAGATAATTAACTAAAAGCAGAAATCAAAATAGTAACTCCTCTGTACATACCTTACAATAAACCTAAGAGATTTTAACTAACATGGGATAAGGAAAATATTTTAAATTGTTATTCCATAAAAAAGAAACTTGAAAATTATATGAATAAATATCTATATATCAAATTAATGACTCATATGTTTATGTTCTAGGTCCTTGACTTGTTTTAAGTTCTATTTAAATAAATAAGGATATACTTCTAGAGGAAGATTAACTTGTATAATTTCTTTTAACTTATTCTTGAACTGCTAATAAGTTGAAATCATCATTTGTTCCTAAAATTTTAAATAATAATACTTGTTCTTCTTTATAAATTGTCTCTATATTTTTTAACCCTTTCAATATCATTAACCCAAGTTTTCCTAGAGTATGCAGAACTTGCTGATTATAAACGCTTTAGAATGGTTTAATTCTCTGTACTTATCTTAACTTGTTCCCTTCTTCTTAATGCTTCTAATGAACCATGTGTTGGAGTTTACTTCAATGTATTATTTCTTTATTGAATTTCCATCATTTTTCTTAACAATTTACTGTTTTTCTCCATGATTTCTTAATCATTTGCTAAACAACATGTTCAAGAACTTACTATTAGTATATTTATTGACTAATCTTGATATTGAATGTCCTGGTTTCCATGGTTATGTATTGTTTACAAGAGGTTTAGAATTTTGGATATTATTCAAATGCATAAGTTGCTCCTTAACATAATGAATGGTAGTCTAATACTTAAGCTATTTTTTTCTTGAAACATATAGGATTAGAGTAAATGAGGTTCCACATTATAAATAAATTAAATGACTGAAGTAGAAAAACAAAAATTTCGAAATGACTCTGAGTTTTATGAAATTGTACGAACTTTTCATGAATTAGTGACAGATATCAATAAAAGTTAGTAATCATTATATTAGGTTTTCATAAAGGAAAAAAGTAATATCATAAAAAGAATAATCATCATATGAAATAAGCATAAATTCAGAAAAAATCGAAACATATTTAAAAAAAACCAATCAAATTGGAATTTGGAAGAAATCAATATCACTTGAAAATAGCATATAATATTTATTATTTGAATTCTACAGCAGAAAACTCCCTAATCTCAATGGACAAATGGAATCCTCTTCAACAATCTATGAAAATAGTTAAACAACCCGAGGACATAGATTCTAATAAAAAGTATGTTTAAATAGTAGATCAATAATTAGAAAAAAAAGAAGCAACTTGAAATTAATATTTATATTATCTAATAAACAGAAACTTAGCAAAATATATAATGGCAGATATAAATATTGTGATTATTTATACATAAATCTTTAAAACTTTCTATGAATCTATTAATTATATTTATATATATTACTATTTTAATTATCAATTCTATTTTATTTCATTTTTTTGATTCAATTAATTTAGATGAATAATTTATATGAATAAATATATTATCCAGATACATTCTCTATTCATTATTACTTAATATATGATATTATAAATAATTAATTGAGTTATATATTAACTATTTTTATTGCGTATCTTTTATTTCTTTTAAGTATTTATTGATTAATTGATTAATTGAAAATATTAAATATTATATATTGATAGATTAATGAATATCAATTACACTAAATTAAGTTAATAATTTGAAGTATTAAAAAGGGCCTATTAGTTTAAATTTTTATAATTATTAAATAAGAATTAAAATTGAATAATAATTCAAATATTCCTAAGAATACAATCTTATTCTATTCAAAAATAATCTAAAATAAGTTAAATAGAATTTTTATAATAGTTTGATAATAATAAGAAAGAGATCAGAAAAGAAATCTAAAAAAATTTTATTATTATTTACTTTTAATCTATTCAATCATTTTTAGCATATTTTAATAACGGGGTGTTTTGACCCTACTTCGAAAATTTCGATGGTTTTATTTAGGGTGATGGCTATAATATACTAGATCTTTTAGTTGGGGTACCAATTGTTTAAGCACTATCAACAGACTCAATTTTCCCTTTAAGTATTGGTGAATCGGCTCCGAAAGCCTTTTACGAATCAATTTGTTTTTGTTATTTAATTTATTTTTACATAACCATTCCTGGTGATTATTTAGGCGATTAAAGAGGAGAGTTTACATTTCTGGTTGCATCAAATTTTGAATATCTAAATTATATTAAAATTTACTCATCATTTATTTTATGCATCATTGATTAAATTTCAATACTTTCATCAATTTCATCGAAATTTTAATCTTAATGTTCTACTTAGATCATTTCTTTAACTATTTCATATAAAAAAGGATGATTAAGACATCTTTCAGCATTGATTCTCTTATTTGGATCTTTCTCAAGCATTTATTTAAGTAAATCTATAGCATATCCAGGAGCATTCTATAACTATTTGATATCAAAATTGATATTGGCTTCTCTATTTTATTTAACAACTGTAGAATAGCTTTTTCCATTAAAAGCAGATTTACCAGTAAGCAATAAATAAAATACTAATCCAAGACTATAAATATCACAAACAGAAGAATATTTAGATTTCATATCTTTAATATTGATAACTTCTGGTGCAACAAAACCTGGAGTTCCACATCTACAATATAAGTAAACTGGTTCATTTACATAAGTGGCTAATCCAAAATCAGCAATAACAACAGATTCCATCTTTCTACATAATATTTTAAAATATATATACTTTGGTTTCTTGAATAATATGTTTTCTAATTTTAAATCTCTATGCATAATCTCTTTTTTATGCATTTCTTAGAGTCCTAAAAGGATGCCCACAATTATCTATTATATTTACTTAGTATTAATTAAAACTTTATCCTTAATTAAATCATATAATGATCCACCTTCTAATAACTCTAAACCTACATACAATGAATTATTAGTCTCATAGACTTCATATAATTTCATTAAATGTGTATTATTAAGATTTCTCATTATCGTCAATTCATTTATTATAGCATTTTTTCCATTTTCTTCTCCATATGCAGGTTATTTGGCAAATGCTTTTATTGCCATTAATTAGTTGTCTTCTATTCTCTCTGCTTAATATACCTAATTAAATATCATTTTATACAGATGCAAAGTTTCCCTTTCCAATTTTTTTATAAACTCTGAACATATTATGAAATTACCATTAATTAATTCTTTCTCCAAGAAAGGATCTCCATTCAATAATTTACTAAACTCCTGCATTTAATCTCTATTTAATCATATTTTCAACACAATCTCTCAAAAATTGCAAGCCTATAATAGGACCTAAACTATCGTCATCCTCATCTTTTTTTGGAATAGCTTATCTCAAAATTTCAAATTTTGTATCAAAATCAAGCTTTAAACACTTATTAGGTTATGTAGCTTTCTAAAATAGCTAATAATTTATTACTTTTGATGAAAGTATATATTAATCATAACCATAAAGTACTCTAATCTTTCCATTTTCTTTGGTAAATTCTCCTTAAATATACAATCGTTCATTATTGAATTTAAAACCATTTGGAATAGGCATCCATAATTTTTAATACATCAAAATTTTGAATATTAATGAATAAAGTATCTAAATATATATCACGATTTAAACTTAGTAAATACAAATACTAATAAAAATCAAAAACTTATAGAATCTAATTTCATTTAATAAACAATTCATTCTGGAAGAATTTAAAAATCTATATATATATTGATATGACAAATTAAAAATTAAAAATTTTAAAAATTATCAAAAAATAAAACTAATTCAAAACTTTCTAAAAGTTTATTATGACACTTTTAATTGATGAAAAGTTGGAATACTTTTTATATTTAATGATTATTTCATCTAATCCATCTCATTAAAATATTAAGTTTATCTAAATTCTTTGATTATATACTCATCCCTTGTAGTCTCTTAAACTAAATTTTATTGGAAGTGTCCTAAAATTTAACCTATCTCATAAGGCGACTTCCCTTGCAATTATCTGACTAAAAATATATATATTAGACTTTTAGTAAAATCATTAGAATTTCGAACATGCTAACTACAATTAAATATTTATATAACTTAACAAGGTCAACAAATACAACATTAGGATATTCATCAATTAATTATTCTATACATTAATAATCTTCTAGGACTATTCCACCTAATAAAGGTACAGGCACATTCAATAATTCAATATTTTTTGGAGGTATTGAAGCCACCATCTAATGAATCCATTTCACATGTTTAAGAAATAACATAAGAATTGCTCCTAATTATTAAACATTTTAAGCTACAAATATAACCGATCTTTCTAAAATAATATTTATTGCAACTAATCCAAGACTAAGAGCATTGTGCAATATTTTTAATTATTTAACATGGTAATCATTATATTCATAATAGGATTATGGTATTTATTAACTTGGAATTTATTTAGGGAGAGTTTCAAAAAGAGGACATTTATGAATGTATTAAATAAATGTCAAATTATTAAACCTCTCTTCTTTGGCACAATCTAATTAATTGAATTCATACTCATAACTTCTATTAAAAAATCAATAAAATATTTCATTAAAGGCAAATATGAAACTATGCAAAGTACTCTTTCACATTTTAAATAACTATTTTTTGATGGACAAACATCTTGTATTGATAAACAAATACAATAAGCTAATTGATTACTATTATACTCTATAATAAATTAAGTTATAACATTATTTTTCAAATGATTCTGAAGTTTTAATTGGTAAAATAAAGCAATTTGGATTATTTTCTGATACAAATCTTTTATAAAGAATTTCATTAATTTCACTTTATGAATCTGATAATTTCTTCTAAACATCTTTTGCTCCATATGGAAATACCAAATCAGGTAATAATTATTCAAGATGACATTATCCATATTAATAAAGTATATCAGTTTTACCAAGAGTAGAATTTCCAATTAAATAAATGCCTTCATAAAATTTACTAATTAAATGTCTATTTTATTATGAAAATTTCTCCATCTTATTATTAATATTTTGATAACTCTAAATTTTCTTAACTCCTCCACCTTCCTCTGTATCAACATGAACACTAAATGAGTTTTTTGTTGACAATGGTTGTCTATTATAGAAAGATGTTTTGCGTTGACTATTTTATGAATTTGAAATTGATGTACTCACTTTTGTTTCTACTCCTAGAATATTTCTAAATTTATCTTACTTGTATGTGTTCTAGATGCTTTAGACCCAACTAAGTGATCTACATTAGTTTTTTTGGTTAACATATATAAATGAGTAGGATCGTTATTTTACATTAATTTAATTTTGTTAATAAATTATATGATAAAATACTCAAACTAATTGAATAATTATACATTTTTAAAATTTTCATAATCATATATTTTATTTAATACTCTTTTATTTCGTTTTAATTACTTTATTATTATTTACATAAAGCTCTGTTAAAATAAAGTAAGATTTAAGAATTTATTATAATGGATAAATAAAGATTGTTCAATTTTACTGATATTCCATTACTTTATTTGTAAAGAAATTATAATACAAATTCTGCAACTTAATATGAGACAATATTAATTAAATCAAAATATTTTTGTCAAGCTTATAGAATTTCTTTTTCACTTTGTAGATTCTAATCTTCAATTTCATTTAATAAATCTTTTATTTGTTTAAATTTTTTTATTTTTCTTTATTTAGGATACTATTACTTATCTTCTTCTTTAGTACATAATTTATTTTTTTTTGAAGGCCTTCTATAATGTATCAATTCAACAACACTAATATATAAATTTGTTATTTCTTAAGATTAAATCAAATATTTTGATTTTAAATAAGAAATCATAGATAAATTAAAAATCAAATTATCATAAATGTTATATTTTGTATAACATATTAATAAATTTAATTATCTAAGCATAATACTTGATATAAATTATGCAATCATAAGAACAAATAAAGTTAAAAGTAAATACATAATAATATTCTGCTATGTGATATTCTTTTCTTCGTTATGTATAAAGTTGTATTATGATTATTAAATCATTTTTATATTTTTTGAATCCTTAAATAATAATAAAATATAGGGAGTTTTAGCTATTTCTGCTGTTTAAATGATACAATAATCATCTAATTTTGAATTATATCTACATAGAACATTATCTTATTCTAGAATCATATAACAACTATTTGAGAAGTTCTTGTGATTATGATAATTCATAATCTATTGAAAATCAATTTCATTAAAACCAGTATAAATCTCATCAAATATTGAATAAAATGATTAATTTAACTAATCGTAAAGTCTACTATATATAACTTAACCTTAACGATTAATTACCATTAAAGTAGTTTCTGAATCTACAATTTTGAATGCTGATGATTAATTAAAATCTATGTCTTTGGCAATTACTCCTTCAAATCCATTATTTCTATTTAATAAATTAGAAGTCATAGCTATTCTTATTCCTCCTGAAAATATTTCATATGGTTTTCCATAAACAATAAGATAATTATTATTAATAATATTCTATGTATAATTCACATGATATAAATACCATGGCCTTTAATGAGGTTTAAATCCAGAATTAAAGTAGAAGCCTTAATTTATAGTATAAAATTATGCTTAATTTGCATGACTAAAATATAAAGCTTATGCATTATCAATAGCATTTCTAAATTATGTAAGTAAAGAAGTTACTGCAAAAACTTAACCTAACTGATCAAGATGAGTTTGATTAAACCTATCACCAAATAGCCCAAAACAATAAGAGGAACTATAGCAATATGAATCATTAGTATTAGGCTTATTCAAACATTATTAAGGTACCATTGTTGTAATGCCAGTTTTTTCTGTAAATTTATTGAGTTATTAAACAATTTTAATTTGTTATGAAGCAGTGTAGATTAAGTATTGAAGATTATTTTTATGCAACCAAACACTATTCAATTATTGCAGAGTTTATTTTACAAATATTTTTTCAGATGATTCTTCTATTGTTTTCTAAACAATCAATTAACTAATGATAATCGAAGCGGCTAATAGTAAAAATACAAATATTGAACTTACTATTTGTATGATTAGAATTTGATTCTTTATTCTCCAATTTTTATTGATGTACCAAAAATGTTGTTATTTTAATTTATTCAATATCATGAAATTTTATTACTCTGATCTTTCCTAATTAAATTACACTTAGTATATAGTATAAATTAATTTTGATAAATAAAAATACAGTTAAAGATTTTTTTAAAGAGATAATCCCCATTCTACATCATAAATATAATAATATATAATAATTATCTATTTAATATGTTAAAATTTATTAATAGATTTAAATTGATTATTCTTATCTATCATTGGAAATAAAAGAGTTTTGTGATTATTTTTGGAAAAAATGCTTTCCATTTTTAATTCATTAACAAATTTAGATTTTTCAAAAATATAATATATTAATAATTATTTTCAGTTAGTGGTTTCTTGGAATTTATTGAATCTTTTATTGTAAAAACTAATTTATATGTGTAGATGTACTCATATGCTTAATTTTAAATTATGTTATTGTATTTCTAATTCAAAGGAATATCACTATTGTTTTCATCCATCAAATCTTAATATTAAGATTCTTATTATCTATCTGTTTTATTCCAATTAGGAAAAAAAGTAGGTTTTTCTATTTCAATTTGAGAAGGCAGATATTTAATTTTCATTGAACTAAAAGTACCAACATTTGAATTTGATGATGAATTAGATAAATGTCTGAAATCAGTTCTCTATCCAGGTTTTTTATTAGGATCTGGAGGTAATAAAAGATGATGCTAAGAAGACTAGATTTAATTAAATTATACGCAACTTGTGGATGCTATTATTAATCATTGACTGTCCAAATTATTTATTGTGATAATTTTGATGAACTTTTCATTAAGTTTCCAGGAGAAAGTTCTTTAAGTTTATTGAATTCATAGGATTTTTTAGATTCTAAAGAGCTAAATTTTTTAGTAGATTTCATTAATCCTTCAGTCCAATCATATATTCCATCTAATAGAAATGAATTATTTTCTGCAATTTGATTTAGAAGTTAAAGGATATATGAATAATTAGGTTGATCTAAGAATTTCAAGGATTTCAAATATTAAAGTATTTCAACTAGTTCATGTGGTTAATTAATGCATAATTCATTTAAATCTATATTTTATTTGATTTCTCCAACAGCTTTAGTTCTTTCATTTTCTGAGACTGGTAAATTTTACCATGGTAAACTTCCACGAAGAAAATATAAAATTACATAAAAAAGAGATTCTAAATCATCCTTCCTAGATATCTCATGACCCTAATGAGCAGCTACAGATGCATATCTAGGAGTACCCATAAATGTTTTATCACTTTTAAAAGGCCTATAATACAAATATAATATAATAATTACATATGTTCTCCTTCAATACAATAAATTTTACTTATACCAAAATCAACTATGTATATTTCATCATTATCTTTAGACATTAATATATTTTCTGGTTTAAGATCTCTATGAACAATATTTTTGTTGTGAATATTTTTTAGAATATTTACACACTCATATGCAATTTGTATTGTACATTTTAAACTGAATTTCTTTTGTTATCTGAAAAAATATGATAAATCTCTTCCTAACAATTATATCACCATAATATTGAATTCATTTTCATTTCCATACCAAATCAATTTAGGAGTACCTTCAGCATCATTTAATTATTTCAATATTTCTACTTCTCTTTCTAAAGATCTCATTTCTTCATTATCTTCTTTCTCCAATTTTAATGCTGCATCTTAATTTGTTTATTTATCAAATACTAAAAAGACTACACCAAATGCTCCAGATGAAATCTTCTTTTTAACAACAAATCTATTCATAAATACTCTTTGTTAACTACTTTGACTCATAAAGAAAATATTATTTATAAATTTTGGATTTTAATATAAAATTCTTGCCAATCAATAATAATATGGGTATCCACCATAATATGCTGGTCTTACTGTAGAATAAGTTAAAGGAGTGGCATATGATGCTACAGGTTAGGTGACAACTTATTGAACTGGTTATACAACTGAATAACTTAAAGGAGCAGGAGCATATTGAACAGGGGCAGCAGGCTAAAAATTTCACTAATACTTCTTACAACTCTTTAAACTTATCTCTCCACTGCTTCATATTCAACTCTTGGAACTGTTTTTTATACAGGTACATATTCTGTTTATGTTTCATAGACTGTTCTTGGAATATAATCTGTTTAATATTCTACTGGGTAATAATCTGTAACATATTTTGTCACAGGCTTTTTAACCTCAATAGTCTCAGTCTCATACTCAACAACTGGTCTTTAATACTCTCTATATTCAACTCTGGATTCTCCCTTGATTGTTGGTTAAGCAGCAACAACTGGTTGCACAACTGATTAAACTACTGGTTAGACAACTGATTGAGTGACAACTGGAGCAGGAGCTGTATAAATAGGGGCTGGAGATGTGTAAATTGGAGTTGTTGCAACAGGTCTAACAATTGATGCTTAAGGATAAGCAACAGGTGTTGCAAAGGATGCTGCAAGTGGTTATGTGTATGATGGGTAGAATCCTGGATAGAAGGACATTTGGAATAAATTTATTTATATGCATTTAATTTTAGGATTTATTTCCTTTAATAAATGTTCTAGAATACTCAATTTAATAATTCTACACTGTCTAAAGTAATATTTCCTAATTTGCCTATCCTAAATCCATTTAATATAAAATCAATTGTAGTCTCATAATTATAATGATTATATCTTTCTCTTACAGCCAACATATATTAACCACCTGTTTTAGGTCTTTCATTTAAACCATATATTTTATAATATTTTTCCATCTATTATTAATTCATCTCTCTTACTAAATAGTCTAACATTCTTTCTTTGGTAACAACTTTATCTTTAATACATCCAACCAACTATTCAAAGATTATTTGTTATGTTTTACTCCTAATTTGAGACCTTGTTCTTCTTCTGTAATATTTGGGATCATTACACCAGGAGAATCAACCAAATATGCTAAAGGTTCATCACATATTTTAATTCCTGCTACATTTTTAGTAGTACAAGGACTGGCTGTAGATTTTGCTATAGCTTTTCTTTTATTTAATTTTGGAGTTGTTTATCTTAATTAATTAATTATTGTAGATTTTCCAACATTAGGCATTCCGCAAATCATTAACCACATACCTACAGTTGCAAATTTAGCAGATTTATATGTATTAGTCATCATAATCAATTCTCTTAAATTCAATCTCTC